ATAAACTAACCGGAAACCAACGAGATGATCAATCAATTCTGAGGAAGTTAGGTCGAAGGCAAGCGCGAAGAAACTTCTGTTAACATCTATCGGCTTTATGATCACGACTGACAATGAGGCCATAACTCTGATTTAGTAAGTTAATCCCTTTAGCGAAAACACGAATAGGGTCGAGTCCCTTCCCCCCTTGTACCCACCCCTTTTAATTAAGAGCGCAATCATTCCGTCGTAATCCAATACCGAACTCGCCCTGTCCATCGCAATTTCTCCCCGACTCGCCAGTCCTAAAGTTAAATTTCCCGTGAAATAAAAACACCGCCGCATAGTGTCGTTCACCTACCCCTTGTTCGCCACCCCCAATTCGCCTTTCATTGGAAATCGCTTTTTAATCGCGTTCTCGCAAAGCGCCAAACTTTCGCGCGCTTTTAAGTAGTAGAGCCGTTCGATTTATCCGCCATTTCAAAAAATACTTTTATTTAGTTTGCAATCCGAGCGTTATTTACTGTAACGCGACTTCAAACGGCTGTATATCCGTTCTTGTCGCGGACAGGAAAAACTATTGTTTGGAAAAGTTGTTGAGTACTTTACTGAATACTTTGTGAAAATGCATCCGGCTAAAATACCAAAGAACTTGTAGTTGCAGAGATTTGTAAACCTTCATGGAGTTCACTTGACATAAAATGAGAAAAGGTCATATTTTAAATTCTTCTGTATTATTTTTCAAAGAAAAAATATTTATTAAATAATTATTGAGTATTTATTCTGCATAAAAAAGTTATTAAAAGTTTAAGAAAGTTTGAAACTTTAAATTATACATTATATTTAAAAACGGTAGAAATTGACAATAAATTAATAATTATAGAAAATTGAGATACAAGTCCAGCGGAAAAATTATATTTCAAAATATAGAAGATTATTTGTTTTCATGTTTGTGCTACTGAATATTTAGTAATATAAGACTTTTAGTATTATACATTGATTTCTTCATTTATTAATATTTCTGTTAAATAAATTATTTTTTAACTTTACATATAAATATCCGAAAAATACTCGGAACGTAATAAAAATTGTTAACAAAATTATTTCATAAGAAATAAATAATAATTGCACAAAGATAAAAGAAAAGAAGTTTTTTTTTATTCATTTTATTACTTGTAAAGTTAATTTTATTTTAAATTATAATAAACACATTTAATCTCATACTCACATTATAAAAGTGAATAACAATCTATAATATGTAAATATCTATATAATGTTCTGTCATGTAAAGTGCTTAAGATTTACAAAGAAAATAAGATGAATATTATGCTGGAGTTTCGAAAAATGAACGGTATCCTAAATCCTTCGAGATGCTATTTCCCGCAGTGGAAATCGAACAATGCATTATACTCTTGAAACGAGTAAAAATGCGAGGGATCAAGCGTCCGAATTACGCGTCAGCTGATTGAAAGGCACGGTGACGTTGCCTAAAGGCGCCGCACCACGTGACACTTTCGCCGAAATATGAGGACATAAATTCCTGCTACGTTGACCTCAAATGGCTACCATTAAGCACCCCGAGATTCCCATTTCAACTTTAAAGTATTGAGATCATGATTGAATGATCCTTAATGCTTTCCATACAAAAGAGATGCCAGGATCCGTGATTCGAACGCATCTATTTTTCGTGCTTCAACAGTGCGACAAGAATTTTAATTTAAAAAAATCTTTTAAGAATATTTTAATTATCAAAGCAAAAAAAATACATTTTAAAATTGAAGACTAAAATAAAAATAATATATACTTTTTTAAATTAAAGAATTATAAAAATTTCAAAAATTAACAGATTAAAAATAAAAGTTATTTTTTATTCTGATCAATTTTGTAGCATAAGAAGTCGCATAAATATGTCAATAAATTTCATGCAATTTGCATATTTCTTAATTAAAAATATAGACTTATATCATTTTTAATTTAGCCTTACATTGCACAATTTTGCGTGTGTATCAATAAATGATAAATAAATATATAAATTTGGCAATCGAAGAAATGTTTTCTAAAAATTGGAGAATTGGAAGTATATGAACATAAAATCCATTTAAGATAGTAATGTAATCTTCTGCAGATATTGCGGACACAATCATATATATATATATATATATATATATCTATAATTTGATATATTTCCGTATATTTCCGTATTATACATCGAGAAAACTTTTCTCGAGCGAAATGTATGCTTAATGCAACAGAGACGGGACTTTTCCTATTCATAATTGTGAAATATAATATTAAAAAACCGAAAATATCGTCTCGAATTGAACCGTCCGAATCGACTAGTAGCAACTCGCGAAAGGCTTGTCGCAATTAAACTAATTGTAAGTATCGACCGGCGATGATCGCCGCAACGCGAGCACGCACTTCGGCGACGTGACCGGCGTCCGATCCGCCCCGAAAGAATCGCGAGTCCATCCACGTAACATAAAATATAGTAAATCGGGCAGAGAGTAATGCCCGGCTCGTAAATAACATGACATATGTTCGTTGGAGGCACGGCTGGCATGTACGCGTAAATCTCCCTCACTGATCGATAAAATGCCGCTCGCTGCTCGCCGGAGCGCGCTCGCCACGCTTACGATCGATCGATCATTTGCTCCTAATAAATTGCGCGAGTGTTAACGAGTGCATTAGCGAGTAGACTTCTGCTTTTCTCATCAAATTTCATATGACGCTTTATTGCGTACATTAAACGTAGCAACTCACTGTCATTGCTTAGATTTTTTACTTCATACTGCTAAATATTTGCATTTACATACAAGTATATGTATATGTATAATATGATAAAACATAATCGATCAAATTAATGAACAATAAAGAAAACAAAGCATAAAATTGTCTTATTTTTTACTCAAATATCATTAATAATGTGAAGAAGCTTATTGCGTACATTGAACGTAGTCGTGCAACTCACTGTCATTGTTCAGATTTTTTACTTCATACTGCAAAATATTTGCATTTATATATAAGTATATGTATAATATGATAAAACATAATCGACGAAATTAATGAACAATAAAAGAAAACAAAGCATACAATTTTTTTTATTTTTTATTAAAATATCATTAATAATGTGTAATGTGAAGAAGCAATTTAGAGTTATAGATATGTGATATCGTGTGCATAATAACATTTTTAAAAATGTCTGAGATACATGCATTTCTTTAAAAAAATGTATTTGTTTTTAAAAATTGAATTTCACGGAATTACTGCGAAATCGGCGACTATTCAATTTTTTTTCATGACCCCTTCGTCATCCCGTTTTAGGGATCTTCGACCGATTTCGCAATTATCGAAGAAATAGGGGGACAATTGCATTTGGCTGCGACAAATCGCTATACATAGGTATAGACAGAGGAAAGTGAGAGAAGGGGAAACAAACTCGGAAGCGCAATATCAAGTCCAACGTATGGTAATCCAGAATGGTCGTGCTGAAATCGTTTATTCACCAAGAGATTGATGTGCGTCGAAATGTTGTCAAAAAGCCGAAAATAGTTGCACGATGTTTCAAAATATCGACTGAGAATGAACACATATGTACAATAGCGTTGTTTTTGCAAATCTTCATATAAAAACCAGTAAAAACAACATAAGAATTATTTTTCACCATTTTTTTAAACTTCTGGCATTAATAGCTCTAAGTTTTAAATTAAATTATTAATTACTTTAGGTAAAATTTATTTTACCTTTAGAATAACGAGAGAAAAAGAGAGATGAAAAGAAGAAAATGATTGTTTTCAATGAGAGGCTTATATATAACCGAGAAATTATTAATGGTTATTGACATTTTTATTAACAAAAACTGATATTAAATTTTCACAAAGGTATGATGTATATCGACTTTTAGCCATAATTCGGATATTCTTTATGTTTTGTTATTCATTATTATATCAATTATTATTATTCATATTCAAGCAATTTTTTAATATGTCTATCGATATCGTCACGTATTCATATATTTAAAATTTCAATAATTTTATGATGAACAAATTCTGAAAACTCAATATGATGATTAAACAAATTTACATTTAATAAATTGCTGAGTAATTTTATAATCGTCTTTCTCGTTACAAAAGTATTTATAATTGCATTGTCAATTATTTACAAGTGTATTGCTCAATTATAAATTTTAATCCGTTATTGCTTTTTGTCGAGACTTAATTAACTGTTTGATAGACGTGACGCTCGATTTCGCAATTTCAGTAAAATCAGAAATTCTGAAATAATCTGCAAAGTACTGTATTTCTATGAAAGTTTTCCACAAGAAAACGTACTAGAACTTTATCGTCGTTAAAAGCATATAATTAAAATTGACGAGCAGCAATCACGAGTTAATAAGGTACTAAGGCAAGACAAGCCTCCTTTTTCTTTCGTTCGCGCAATCTTGCATTTTATACTAATAACGTTTGCTTTTCGATTGACGTTCATGCAAAAGAAAAGTCGCGAAGAAAAGGGAAGAAAAAATCTTTTCATGTGATAACTGAATTAAATGAATGAGATTTTCCATCAAAGCAATGTTAACCAGATCGAAAAAATTCCATCTATTTAAGCTACGTTAACGAATTACCGAAAAAGTAAAATCATCAATTATAAATTTATTTAATAACTCGTTTCCTTTCTATTGTTATAGTAACATTCAAAAGATATACAGTAGTTACATATATTGATTAAGATTTAAATTTAAACCAAAATTTATACCGAATATACTTTATATGTACAATCGTGCGAATTAGAGTATGTTCTATTTCGTGCAATCAATTGCCGGTATATTACCGCGATACGTTACACGTGCAATTTCTATAGTAGATTATGCGATCATGTCATGATTAATTGCGAGTTGTAGTTGTATGCGCCATTATTATCCAGCGGAAAACAGATAGAAATATATATCGTGTGTGTGTGTGTATATATACACATATATATTTTTACATAATATGTATTGTATAACAGTTCAATTAACTTACCGAATCGCCGACTTCGGACATGCACGATCCACGCACTCCGTTTCGAGATCGATCCTTAGCCGTAAATCTTGATTCTGTAAACAAAGGAATAAATATATATGTAATAATATTTTCGTTAATAAAATTATGCAAAAAATTAATGGAAAAATATTGTAATTATTTCTTTATTGCATTACACTGTAAAAATGTAAAATTACATAAATAATAAATGTAAAATTACATGATAAATAATGAAAAGGTAAAAATTTCTATTATTTATCGTGTAATTTTACACTTATTATTTATGTAATTTTACATATTTTTGTGTAATATATTACATATTTTTTTACAGTGTATGTTGTATTGTAACGATATTTATTTATTTCTTTCGTTTTGCGCTATTCAATAATTTCGACACAAAATTATTATCCCATCATTCTATCATTTTAGATCGTGTGGGATTAAAATACGGAGCAATATGTGTCCGTAAAAGTTACCGTCTCATTTATTATTACGTCATTTAATCTCTGCCAAATTCTTTACGTTAACAACTGTAAAACGTTTCGCCTCGAAGTACTCGCTTCGACATAAATCCTCTCTGTTAATTGCGCCGTACGTTCGCACGAGTAATTTCAACTCGCCCGCTCGCCCCGGAAAGTGGCCTGACGAAATAATATTCCGACTAAATGGCGGCTCGTGAATCCTGTCCGAATGCGCGATAAAACCAATACCGGCAACGTGTTTACAGTTTTACGAGATGTCAGCGAAATGCGCAACGAAAGCGAGCTACATTCACGCGACATCATGAACTTATATGGCATCCTTAACTCTTAACTCCTCTTTGTGTTGTCCAACAATCCACTTTTTTTTAAATTATTTAAAAATTTAATTTAAAAAAGAACTCGCAGTTTTGGCATTTCTGTCATTTTCTAAAATTTTTGAAAAGACATTAGAAATTTATCAAAAATTTCAAATATACGAAAAATACGTTTTACAATTGTTTTCTTCTTTCTAATTATAATTATTATACATTAATTATTATAATTATTATTGTACATATATATATATATATATATATAAATGTGTATGTGATAAAATTTGTATATAGTAAATTATAATATAAATTCATAAATAAAATTCTAAAACACAAAATAGAATTTATCTAATTAGTAAGCTTTTGATTACAGGAAAAAACCTTAATTAATCAATGCTATAATTGCTGAAAATCTAATCAATCTATGGCGAAGTGAATGAGAAAGAGTTTATTCTTGAAAAAAAATATAGATTTAGAATATAATGAATTAAAACTCTTCGCACACGCTATTGTATTTTCAATTTTTTTCTTTAAACATGCTATATGCGAAATATAAAACACATTATCGAAATATAATTATCAACGTTACGATTGAACTAATTAAGCTGCTAATTAGCTTAGTTAAATAGGCGATTAGTAGCAGCTGTTACATGACATCGGCACGTCTTGGCCAGTATTTGATGTCGCGGGTTACGATCCCATTCCCTTCCTCCCCGTCAACCCTTCATGACATTGCGTGTCTCCCCGGAGACTCTCTGAGCGTCTGATTAACTTGGTATAAAATTATGTTCCATCTTTACACTCTCCTTTAATACTTCATATCTACACTTATGCTAGAAAAACGTAATAATTCAAAAATCAAGAGCTTATACAGATCGCAAAGATTTACAATTACAATAATTTAAAAAAAATTAAGTGAGTAAAACTTATAGTAATTGAAGAATATATTTCGAAAATGTAATTATCCTGAAAAATATAGAAAGCGTCAAAAATTAAATTTTTCTTTTTTGCGATTATAATATTAATTTTCTGTGTGAAATAAAATAAAATTTCTCGAATCTTAAATAAAAATTTTGAAATATTGAAAATTCACGATAATCTAATTGTCACGCTAAGTATGTGCAAAGCGCAAACTTAAGAAACTGAAAAATCCCAAGAACTTGAAGACTCGAGTATTTGAAATAAAAACACTGAAGAAGAATAGGTATACCGATTAGATCATTTATTACATCTTTACACTCTCCTTTAATACTTCATATCTACACCTATGCTAGAAAAACGAAATAATCCAAAAATCAAGAGCTTATACAGATTAAAATCGCAAAGATTTACAATTACAATAATTTAAAAAAAATTAAGTGAGTAAAACTTATAGTAATTGAAGAATATATTTCGAAAATGTAATTATCCTGAAAAATATAGAAAGCGTCAAAAATTAAATTTTTTTTTTTTGCGATTATAATATTAATTTTCTGTGTGAAATAAAATAAAATTTCTCGAATCTTAAATAAAAATTTTGAAATATTGAAAATTCACGATAATCTAATTGTCACGCTAAGTATGTGCAAAGCGCAAACTTAAGAAACTGAAAAATCCCAAGAACTTGAAGACTCGAGTATTTGAAATAAGAACACTGAAGAATAGGTATACCGATTAGATCATTTATTACATCTTTACACTCTCCTTTAATACTTCATATCTACACCTATGCTAGAAAAACGAAATAATCCAAAAATCAAGAGCTTATACAGATTAAAATCGCAAAGATTTACAATTACAATAATTTAAAAAAAATTAAGTGAGTAAAACTAATAGTAATTGAAGAATATATTTCGAAAATGTAATTATCCTGAAAAATATAGAAAGCGTCAAAAATTAAATTTTTTTTGCGATTATAATATTAATTTTCTGTGTGAAATAAAATAAAATTTCTCGAATCTTAAATAAAAATTTTGAAATATTGAAAATTCACGATAATCTAATCGTCATGCTAAGTATGTGCAAAGCGCAAACTTAAGAAACTGAAAAATCCCAAGAACTTGAAGACTCGAGTATTTGAAATAAGAACACTGAAGAATAGGTATACCGATTAGATCATTTATTACATCTTTACACTCTCCTTTAATACTTCATATCTACACCTATGCTAGAAAAACGAAATAATCCAAAAATCAAGAGCTTATACAGATTAAAATCGCAAAGATTTACAATTACAATAATTTAAAAAAAATTAAGCGAGTAAAACTAATAGTAATTGAAGAATATATTTCGAAAATGTAATTATCCTGAAAAATATAGAAAGCGTCAAAAATTAAATCTTTTTTTGCGATTATAATATTAATTTTCTGTGTGAAATAAAATAAAATTTCTCGAATCTTAAATAAAAATTTTGAAATATTGAAAATTCACGATAATCTAATTGTCACGCTAAGTATGTGCAAAGCGCAAACTTAAGAAACTGAAAAATCCCAAGAACTTGAAGACTCGAGTATTTGAAATAAAAACACTGAAGAATAGGTATACCGATTAGATCATTTATTACATCCAACACTCTTTGTCATTTTCTAAAGCCGTTCTTGACTGAACGTCAAATCCCTCAAGTCCTTCATCTTTCTCTTAAAGGTTCGCGCTTCGACTTTATCCCTTCAACCATGCATGTTGACTGCAAGACGTTACAGCTGCAGCTGCAGTTCTCGCGTGTATCCGCAAGGAGAAAGGGGTGGTGAAAAGGAGGGAACCGAGAGAGAATGGATATAGTGCGGGATGATTGTGGGGGCGAATGTAGGAGAGGGTGGATCGCACATACGTAGCCGATGCATGCGGTAATGGCGGTGCATACGGTGTACCAGTCAAACGCATACCGTATTGATTTTAATATCTGTGTAGAAAGCGCAGAAACGGAGTGGGAGGAATAGAGGAAAAAGAGAGGAGAAATAGAAGAAATAAAGGTAGAGGAAGCTTTCACACGCCATCGAGGCACCTGTAGCTGATACACTCTTAACGCATTAGCATTTCGTGTACACGTATTAAGATATATTAGCAAATTTACTTGCGTGTACGTGAATCGACTTATCAATTAAACTTTTGCATACAGTATCGAGATACGCTGCTTTTGTATTCTAATTGTAATAATATGTTTAAAATGCAGGATAAGTAAAATTATCATCTACAAACTCCGGAGCCTTTTCAAAAATAAATGTAATTTTATTTTGAAAAAAAATAGTTATACGCACAAGAGAAATCTTGATTTAACATTATTTTCAATATTACTTTTGCGTAAAGTAGATCAAATGACAGCGGTCAAAATTAGTTTGTTTGTTTGATAAAAAAAAAGCTAATTCATGAAACTAATCTCAATCGTGGAAATGTGGGCGGTAGGAGAAGATGGGTTTGTAAATGACAAACGCACTAGTGGTAAGTGACAGTGACTAATTAATTAGTATCGAATATTCCCAATAACCCAACCAGAGCAAAATTAAATGCAACACTCGAAAGTGCTATAATCATCTGTAAATTAATCAAGAAACAAACATAGTAACAGATACATAGAACAGATTTTATTTTATAAAATAGAGAAACTTTATTCTATAAATAAATTTAAATCCAGATACCATTGTTTAAAATAATAAGAAAAAAGAAGAAACAATTCTTTTTGTACTATCGTTATTTGCGAATTAATAACAAAAATCGTTATAAATATAAAAGGATATTATAAAATAAGTATTTAAAATAAATGCACTTATTTTATCGAGGTGATTCGATTATAATTTAATTTAATTTAGTGCATATTATGTATCTCACAAAAAATATATTAAATTATCTTTAAAATTAATTATTTGAATAATTCGTATAGCTTTATTAAAATTATTTAATCACAATCAATTGCAAAATATATGATCTAAATATGTATTAAAATATTTGCCAATAATAAAATTAACAAGTTATCATAAATTATAAAGATAATCTTTGTTTAATATTAAATAAGTCTAAAAATTAGTAGAATTGTTAAACTATATTGTATCAATTCTCATCATATTTACTAAAAGTATTCCTCTAAAATAATATTTAAAATAACGTTATACAATTAAATTTGTAATCAACAAAAATAATTGTCATGTAGATATTTTCCAATAATAAAACCAATATTACGAATTCATGTTTAAGAAAAGAAAATTATATATTTAATTGCTATCACAAAAAATTATGAGATTTAATAAATATCATTTATAAGATATAATACCGAAAGAATAATTATAGAATTATATATGTATATCTTATAAA